CAGAGACAGATGAAATAAGCTAGAAGGAACTCACGAACTCTAGACAAACAGTTGTGGAGCTTGCATGGGACCGGACTAGGCTTCTGCATACGAAGACAGTTGTGTGGCTTGGTCTGTTTGAGGGACTCCTGGCAGTAGGATCAGGATCTATCCCTGGTGCATGAACTGGAATTTTGGAGCCCATTATCTATAGTAGGACGCCTTGTTCAGCCTTGATGAAGGGAGGAGGGGTTTGGTCCTGCCTCAACTGAATGTACCAGGCTTTGCTGACTCCCCATGGGAGCCCTTACCCTTTTGGAGGAGCGGATGAGGAGGGCTGGGTGGGAGCGGGAGGAGGGATAAGAGGGGGATTTGTGGTTGGTATGTAAAATGAATAAAAGAATTCCTTAAATAAAAAAAACCCTAATAAATAAACAAATACACCCTGAGCCCTGCAGGGGAGACTCTGTGATAGTATGGTGTAATTATAGGCAATTGTGAAGTTTTAAAAAATGCAAATGAATATTGAAGAATTTCTGATGAAAAGATGAAAATTTTTAGAGTAAAATACCTTCAGGCTGAAGTGGAATGGATTGCCAAAGGACAACGGTTGGTAAAAATTAAGGCCCCAATTCACCCATCTCTCCTGCCAGATCTACAGGTAGACTTAGTGTTGAAACACACACCCACAGAGAGGTCAGGGCCATGGGATAGAGTGAATGTGGAATGTGAAAAAGAAACTCAGATGTAGGGGAACCATTTGGATTTTCCTGTGTACCCACATTGTGTACCCATGGTGACTGTGTACCCACACTGTGACCCTGACTGTGGAGCAGAGACTGAATATCAATCATAGGCAAGAAAGCAGCCTGTCAGAATCCTTGCTATTTTGCTATTGAGAGAAAGTCTTTCTCCAGGTCAGGACAAGGAAATTGGCTGCCAGCATGTTGGGGAAGGGCCCAGGAAGAAGCAGGTTCCTTCAATCGGAGGTGTTAAAAGAAAAGTCGACGTTGCCTTGGAGGTGGGGTGTTTGTGAAGTCATGAGTGGAGGCATGAGAAGAGGAGGGTCATCAACTACACTTGCCACTCCCGAAAAAGCAACAAAACTGTAAACCAGCTTAGACACAAGTCAGTCTCTCTTCTGAATTCAAGTAGCTCCCGATAACCCTGTGCAGTGGGAAACCCAAGGCCAGCTTCAGTCCTCAGCAGCACCTCTCTCCAACTTCATGGAGCTTGAATGCGCTGCCCATCTAGACTCCTCTTGAGAGGGGATGTGTGTCTGAGGACCTCTTCAGGGATCTTGGGAGTGAGTGAAAGGACACAAGGTCGGGGATCTGAGTGGATGTGTGTTCTTGTCATCAACCTGTCTGAGTCATAAAAAGATCTATCGAGCAGGCCTGGCATAGTCCCCATGTGGAAGATATCCTGGGACACTCAGATGACACCCGCAAAGCCGTCCCTATAGCTGAAAATCAAAACATATGGTGTTGTTTTGATGTGGCTTTGGAGTATGCCTGTTGAACCCTATATTTTGCTAACTAGGGGCCCTCTCCAACCCGATGTGGAGGCTGTATGGCTGGTTTGTGTGGGTTTTTTTTTTGTTGTTGTTGTTTTGTTTTGTTTTGTTTTTGAGCTAATGGAATGTGTGGTTTCTAGATAGAATATGGAGATGATAGCAGGTAGATTTCTATTACTGAAAGCTTTTATGGGAATTGGAAGAGACAGAAAAAATTAGGACAATCAGATCAGGGTGGAGATTTCTGGATGAGACACTTGAGAGGAAAGGGTGGTAACTGAGGTCACACAATGCTAGTACCTGGAGTCATTTTCCTATTTCAGTCTAGGCAATAGGCCTAACCTAGCAGGGTTGTGCCTAGAGTTTTCGGGGAAGGAAGGGAAGAGCTTGTGGAGCTGTGAATGCCTGTATTGGTAGGCTGGGTTAATTCTTTGACCTTTAATTAATTGTCACAGGTGCAATAGGAAGAAGCATGGCTTTGATGGTAGGAGTTCCTAGTGACTGCCCGATGTCACCTTGGACTGGTCTGTAGTCAGTCTCCAGACAAGTCAGCGTCTCAGAAAGCTATTTTCCATTTTTTCCCTGTCCCAACCCACCCCAGATGTGTCCTACCTCATAAAGCATCTTGATCTGGCCCTGACTATCTATAGATTTGCTGATAGGATTTTCATCCCCTCTCTCAGTGCCTCCTTACATAACCCCGCTTTACCTCCAAGCCTTGAGAGTCCCTGTGAAGACATAGGAGAGCTGAGGTCTGGGACTGAACTCCTGACCTACGGTTGTTTATCCATAAAATGTAGATATTGATTCTATATCCATCTTGGAAATATTATGAGGACTTAATGTAAATGTCCTATTGATTTGTTTTTCTCCAACTTTTTATATATGCCATCTATTTTCTCGCCTGTCACATACAATGTCCTCAGCAGCCAGGCATCTCAGAGTTATTATCTCATATTATCTAATAATGGCATATTGCCATTATTAACTGCTGAGAAAGAAGTAGTGTTTGGAACATGATGTCCACCAAATGACTTCTGTTTCTCCTTCTATCTCAATCTCTTTAGAGAAGCCTTTCTTGATGTCTCAGAGGAGGTTATCTCCTTACAAGGTCTCTTGGCAGCTGAACCCAGCAGCATTTCCCAGGGCAGATAGAGTTACTCACTTGTATAGTTAGATTTTGGGCTGTGTTTTCCTCTAGAGTTGAAGGTTTATAGACAGTTGGAGACCTCTCTCTCTCTATGGCTCTTCCTCCTTCCCCTGACAATAGCTGTACATGTTTGTTTCTCACTAAGTATTTACTCAGTGGCAGCCTCAATCACCCTTGGTTTCCAAAGACCTAGGCTGAGATCTTGTTATGTTGACATCATTCTGTTTTCACAGACTATTTGTACAGGGAGATAGTGGGGAGCCCATTTCTTTATCTCCCAGGAAAACAGGCTGGTCAACTAGATGGTCCTGTCTTGTGGAGTCCTGTGGACCATTTGGACAATAGAAGGTCTAAGGACTCTGCCAGAAACAAATGGTGGGGATGGTGCCTGTGAGGGTTCAGATGGGACATGAAATCAGACCAGGGCCATACAGCCTTCCAGAAACAGAAGCCAGCACCCTCCACACTAAACTGAGTTCAGCAGACAGTGTAGTTCTAGAAAGAGTGTGGCCAGAAGGAACAAAGCAACTGAGCTGACAATGACTGCGAATGCCTGAGGTGATGGGTACAGTATCTAGCTAGACCTAACTGTTTCGTAGTATATGCGTTCCCCAAAACAGCATGCGGTGTGTTACAAACCTACATGATTTTTACCTACAATCTATGGCTGTATCCAAACAAAGCAAAACAAGAACTCTCAAAATTCACACTCCAAAACCTATGACAAATACATGCAAGATCAACCTGCAGCTTGGCTCTGGAGACTCTCAGGAACCTACATGTTAATGCAAAGATACCTGAGGAGTTTCATTCTTCCTCCCCACCTAGAGCATAAGGACCAGGCCAGCATATTAACCCCAGAGGAAAATACTTTTTCTAGACAGCATCCTTCCCTGTGGTCAAATAGAACCTTGCAGTGCACTAGGTGTTCTTCAGTGGTCCTTCTTGGCCCTTGGGACCCTTAGAGTGATCGGAACATCACCATATTGGCTTTAGGCATGAGATAGTCTCTGCTCTTTACTATTTCCAGAGAGGTGGCTAGAGAATTCTTGTACTGACAGATTATACAGAAAGGATATTTGTATCCTAAAAGAATGCAGTAGAGTGGCTGTACCTAGGAATTTCTAGCAACCCTGGTAAGTATTCCTGGATCCATTCTTATAACGAAGGATCAGGAAATATGGCTGAGTCTGCCTACCCTTGAGAGGTGGTCCTATTTCCATGGTTTGAATGAGCTGCCTAGCATCATATTTAGAATAGTAGACAAATAAGTCTTTATTCTCAAAAATATGCTTTTAAATTTTCTTGAATTTGGGCCACAAGAAGAAAATGTCTCCTTCTTACTCAGTGAAAGCATTCCCACCCCACCCCCAATGCGTGCCAAGACAAGTGTGTCAAATAACATGCACTGTGGCATGTACTGGCATTTCTTAGACCCTAAAAAAGTGTAACTTATTAAATGCATTTCTTTACCTCTCTAATGAGCCATTACCTCACCATGAAAAACAGTATGTTAAGAATGCACCTGGATCCAGATTTCACATGGGAAAATTGGGGCATAACTATTTTGAAACACACACCTCCAGAGGCTAGCATGATAGCCTAGAGGAAAACAAAACAGGATTTTCCAGAGAATCTCACAACTAAAAATTCCTTCCCCAGGACCCTCCTAATACAAATATGGAAATAAAGCTCAGAAACACATGACTTTCTCAATGTTACCCTGAGAGATGACTTTGGGGGGAAAATATGTCCTTAATCACTACTTCAGGGTCCTGTCTCCCATGTCAGGGATAGGCTGCTGTGGTCTAGACAGTCTGAGCATCCTCTGGACAGATGTGAAGCCCCTTGCATTTGATGGGTAAAATCTCCTTGCCAGAAGAATGTGGCTACTGGGGAAATGTGAAAGGTCATCTGTCATCTTTTGACTGCTTACCTGGCATTTACAGGCATTTACAACTGGCTGAGCTGGCCTGGTGAAGGGGCAGTGGCACTTTGCCTGAAGCGGGATACTCAGAGATGCTCCACCCCGGGACCCAGGTGAGGCTAGTGTGTGTCTCCCTGGATCAAAAAGCTTGTTTCTCAGTGGAAGAATCGTAGCACAGGCAAAGCAGACTCCCACACAAGACCTATCTCAGATTCTAGGGACAAACATCACGGCTGGAAGATACCAACTACTCACTGTGAATTCCTTACCAGGCTCATTTTGCTGCTGCCCAGCAGTTGACCACAGGCCACTCAGGAGGCTCTCCTGTCACTAGGCTTGCAAAACCAGGAGATAGCTATTACCTGTTCCCCCTTAGCCTCTGTGTCCCCAGTCCCAGTCAGGGCCATCAACAAGTTCCCAAGGCTTACCTGGCTCCATCTGGGAGAAGAGAAAAAATAACATCACCAGGAGAAAGTAATGAGTTTTCATGGTGGCAGCGGCGGCAGCAGCCAGCGTCCAGAGTGCAGAGAGGACAAGAGACTCCCAGGTAGCTGAGCTGACAGATGCTTCCGGAAGCCTGAGTGAGCTTGTTTTTTTTATAGGAACACTGGTTGCATAACCTCATAAATAAGCTGAAGGGAGGCGTTGCAAACCACAGTGCAGTTCTAATGACATCTCATGGCATTCGCCCTGAGAAGAGTCCAAGTCCCGTGGGCTCATTACCTCTCCTCAGCTCTAGCTGGATTTTATTCTTCAGCCTGGATAATGGGCATAGGCATCTCTTGTCAAGTCTGTCCTGATTCTCAGGTTGAGATTCTAAGAGACTCTTTGCGAGGCAGCCCTATCAGGACCTCTTGGGTTAGATAGGTTCAGAGAGCTTGTGAGAAGCCCAGTAACCCAAACAGGTGACTCTGTGGCTCCGGGCTGCTGTGGTTCCTTTATGTTTAGTTGTTTCCCTTTACAGTGCTCAGGGTTTATCTTCTCCTGGCACGATGGTGAGCTGATTGCTGGGATGGAAGCAGCAGTGGGGGTTGCTTTCTCATGTCTCTGCATTCAGACCTTACTCCCTGAAGGCTCTAACAAGCTAGTGTTTCCAATTGGGCACCTCTTCCTGGGGTTTTCCGACTCTGGCTCTCCAGAAAAGCATCTGAGTTAAGTCCAGGGAGGAGCAACTTTCCACCTGGTGTATGCTTAGCTAGGCTCTAAATATTCAGTTATTGTACCATTTTAAAATATCTTATTTTCCATAGAATTTCCAGTGCAAATCTATAAGCAGATTTCCTAGAATATTACGAAGGATCTTATTTATAAGCAACAGTAAATGCCTCTGCCCAACATGTAAGAGCAGCGTTTTTTTTCCCAGCTGAGAATGGTTTTTTTTTTTTATCATTTTTAAACTTATTTTACATATCAACCAGAGATTTTCCTCCCTCCTCTCTTTCTGTACCCTCTCCCAACTCCCTTCTAACCTCCCATCCACTCCTCAGAAGGGGTAAGGCCTCCCATGGGAGTCAACAAAGCATGGCACATCAAGTTGAGGCAGGACCAAGCTTCTCACCCTGCATCAAGGCTGAGCAAGGCATCCCACCATAGGGAATAGATTCCAAAAAGCCAACCCATGGCATCAGGGACAGATCCTGGTCCCACTGCTAGGGTGTCTACAAACAGCCCAAGCTACACAAGTGTCACCACATGCAGAGGGCCTAGGTTGGTCCTATGTAGGCTCCCTAGCTGTCAGTCTAGAGTCTGTGAGCTCCCATGAGCTCAGGTCAAATGTTTCTGTGGGTTTCCTCTGTCATTATCTTGACCCCCTGGCTCCTACAATCCTTCCTCCCAGAGCTTGGCCCAATGCTTGGCTGTGAATCTCTGCATCTGCTTCCATCAGTTACTGGATGAAAGTTCTATGATGACAATTAGGGTAGTCACCAAGAGCAGAGTTTCTTAAAGTGATGCTAAGAAGCATATAGAGCCATTGTTGGGGCTGGAGGACTGGGCTGTAGCTAAACTGCAAGGAACAAGGTCCATTCTGTGCCACTTGATCTGATGAGGATCCTAGGCTGCAGCCACCTCGAAGGAGGCACCAGCACAGACTCTACAGAAACTATGGCCACCACCATAGCAGAACAGCTTTCTATACTAAGACATGTACCTTTCAGATACAAGCACACACACAAGAACACACAACCACACACAAATACCACAGAAGCATACACACACACAAGCACATACACACAAGCGTATACACACACACAAGCATACACACACACACACACACACACAAGCATATACACATAAGCATGCATATGCACACAACTGTCTATTTATCTCTAAATATATATAAAGAGAGAGACAGCGAGGTATACACACCGGGGGAGACATAGACAGAGATAGAGACAGAAAAAGAGGAACTAGAAGAGTAGCAGAGATGAAGAGAGAATGAGAATGGCTAAGACAGAGACATAGGTTTGCTTTCAGAGGGGGAAAAGTCAGAGACAAAGGGAAAGAGAAATACACAGAGAGAAACACAAAGACAGAGTGAGAAAGATTTACACGGGGAGATTTGTTTCTCTCCCAATCCCAACCTTGGCCCTTCTCTCTCTGTAGTCATGCTCCAAGTCTGGATCCTTCATTGACTGCTAGAGCCTCAGTCACAAGAGATTCTGGGAAAGCAAGGCCATTGGGTGTTTATTCAATAGCGCGCAGGGTTGTTTGTGTCTTCCATCAGTTTTCTGAAATGCAGACTGATGCTCAAAGAATGTAAGGTGCTGGGAGTAACATAAGAACTATTAAGTGCATGTTATATCGAGATCCAAGTCACATTCATATACATGGGCATATTTACTTGGTTCCTGTGTGAGGCAGGAAGTCTTCAGTATCTTGGAGTATGGTGAGAAAAGAGTTTCTTTTGGAAATTTTGCTCAGAGTATAGACACATGAAGATGATGTAGGATGCAGCTGGGTAGGTACTCTAATGGGGTCATCCGAATGGAAATAAAAGCCCCGAGAGGTTGAGCCCAAAGTTTGACTTGCACTTCCTCTGTAAGTAAGGTTACTGCTGGCTAGTTTCCAGGGGTGCCTCCTCAGGAAATTTGAGGGTTGGAGAATAGGGCGTTACCATGGAGTAAAAAGGAAACACAGCTTCTGTTTCTTTCTCATTCTTACTTATTGTGTGAACCCCAATTCCATCAGGAAGAAGTTGACTTAGAGACTCCACTCTCTAGGTGATAATACCCCATGTCTTTATAGACTGCCTGTGTGACTTCAAAGAAATGGAAATAGCACTGGGCACTCCTGTCATTCTGCAGGTGAAACAAGATAGTGATCTTTACACAAAACATCTCAAAATTCTATGGCTAGGTGTCACGTAATCTCAGTTTAACTAGGAATTCAGGGAGCAAGCTAAATCAAAAGGATAATTCTAATTTTCAGAAATGATGTTTTCTCCTCTGAACCCTGGAGACATTTTGTTTCTTAAGGCTGTGTTGACAGAACCTTAGCTATCCTGTGATTAATTTTCTAGCTTATTTCCCAGAAGGAACCTTCATCCCAGTGTGGGACCCTTTCTGTTTCCCACATCCCTCAGCAGTGCTTGTGGGGAAGAGTGCGGTCTTTGCTTGGTCCCTCCATAAGACTGAGGGTCTATGACTACCCTATGGCTAGGTGCAGAGGTCGGGAAACACATTGTGTTTCTGGAAGAACCTGATGTAGCAGCTGCTTCAGCAGAAAGCATCGCAGTGGCTTCAGATCAAGTAGGGTTCTGGCTCTCTTCCATCGGAGGTCACAAAATCATGGCTTCTGCCATCAGAAGTTTCCTGTCAAGGGAAAGTAATGAAGGGAACACTCATGATGTGCTTCTCCTGATGAATGCTCCCATTTGTTATAATGCTTCCAATTTGGAAGTATTTCTCACTGGCATATACTCCTACTCCATAAAGGATAATCTTAGAACTCAGAACTGGTCTATTGCTCCAGCTCCAGACTGTGATCTGGCAGGTGGGGCCAAGGATAGACTCCTGCTTGGCTGATAGTGTGGATATCATCAGTGCACAGTTTTGCCCAGAATCACCACTTACTGACAAATGGAATCATAGACTCACAGTATCTAAGCTGGAAGACATTTAACCAGCAGCTATTTCAGAGAGTTCCTGTTTCTTGTAGGGACTTAGAGGTCCAAGGACCAAGCAGGGCTGTCACCTTGCCCCATCATGACCTGAACAGCTGTGATACATTTATGCCATTTGTCAGGCTTCATGGATGAGCTTTTGTGGAAGAAAGGGTTTCTGGTAGTTAGGAAAGTAAAGAGAAAGTGAATCTAGTTCCAGAGGATCAGATGTTTTGTGGGTACAGAAAGTAATTGCAGAATGAATTAATATTACATCGTGCACTGAAGGGGGGCTGTTGGAAGATTTCTCTGAGTTTTCTAGATAAACAGTCCACGACTTGCCTGTTCTGGTGCTGGGATTGGGCCACTCCACCTGGATGATGCCCTAAAGGAAGTCCTTAAGCTACTTTTTACTGTTGACTAATTTCTCAGGGTCTTGGAATTTGACCATACACATGGCTCTGCAGGGTCCTTGACTTATTAAGATCTGCATTTGTTTCCCATCATTGAAACTATTTTAAGGTTATCATTAAGGTATTCTTTAGGTATATGTCCATATTACCTGTATCTATATTCATGATGGCCTCTTTAATGTTGGGAACTGAGTACATTTTGTTTGTCAGGCTATCTGAACCCTTGGGGTGTTTCATGGTATTAACATTATTGAAAGCAAAAATAATTGGAAGCATTTCAGAAATTCAAAGAATGATATCTTTTCATTCCATTTATTTATTTATTTATTTATTTATTTATTTATTTATTTATTTATTTATCTATCTTTTGGTTTTCAAGACAGGGTTTCTCTGTGTAGCTTTGTGCCTTTCCTGGAACTCACTCTGTAGCCCAGGCTGGCCTCAAATTCACAGAGATCCACCTGCCTCTGCCTACCGAGTGCTGGGATTAAAGGTGTGCGCCATCACCGCCTACATTCCATTTATTTTAAGTGTGAAGGAGGGGGCTTCATTTCAAGGTTGCATTTGCAAGTCCTCAATGAAAAGCAAATTTGAGTTGTATGTTCCATCAACCCTGCCAGAGTCCTCCCAAATCTGTTGCAATTCATTCTTCTCTGCTGATGTTTTTGTTGATTAAATTTACAGAGATGAGAAGGTACCGGGAGTCTGGCACTGCTGTGGTTGTCAACACAGGGAAAGATGCTGAGCTGGAGGAGAGGTAGGAGGGGGAAGAGAGGGAGGGAGGACAGGAGGGATGGGGGAGTAGGAGGGAGAGGGGGAAGAGGAGGGGGAGGGGGAAGAGGAGGGGGAGGGGAAGTGGGGAGAGAGGCAGTGGCCTGGTGAGAAGCCCAGGGTGAAGACTAGAAGGCCAGCTCAGAGACAGGGCTTAGACAGAACTGGCCGAACAGGATCTTAGACAAATCATGGGTCATCTGTCATCCTCAGGTTCAATTTCAGGACTCTTACAGTATTGTAG